AAAAAGAGGAAGAAGAGAGATAGGATGGACTCCCTTGTAGTGTGTGTGTGATGTCCAACGTTTCTGGTATTCCTCCAAATTATATAATTCTATATAATTATATACTTCAAAAACATTTTCATCATCCCCCCTAAACCCCACACCAATTTCTCACTCTTTGCAACCATTAATACACTTTCTGATTATAAATTTTTCTTTGGTGGACATTCCAATGTACAAGAAACCACACAACAAATGATATTTTTTACCAGGCTCCTTTCACTTAGTATAATGTTTTCTGGATTTATCTATGTTGCAGCATTATCAATACCTCATTCCTTTTCATGCCTGAATAATATTTCATTGTGTGGCTATATCATATTTTACTTGCCAATTCTTCCATTCATGAATATTTGCATTGTCTTTTTATTTTAGCTATCAAAAACAATGCTGATTGAATCAGATTTAATCAAAATTAAAAGCTACTGTGTTTCAAAGAACACTACAAAAATGAAAAGATAACCCACCCAACACTCACACACAAGTTTTTGTGTGACTGTATATGTTTTCAGCTCTCGTGGCATTTATCTAAAAGTGGAATTGCTGGGTCATATGGCTAAGTTGTTTGACTTTTTGAGAAACTTCTGAGCTGCTTTCCACTGAGGCTGCATTGTTTTACATTAATGTCAACAGTGTATGAAGATTCTAATTTCTTTGTATCCTTCTAATATTCATTTTCTTTGCTTTTGGTAATAAGGATCCTAGAGATATGAGGTGATACACTGTATCATCGTGGTTTTGATTTGTATTTCCCTAATGCTAGGGATGCAGATGTTTTTAATTGTCCACTGGCCACTTGTGGATCTTCTTTGAATAAATATCTATGCAAATTCTTTGGCTATTTTCAAATTTCTTTTCTTTTTCCTTTTTATAACTCAATTGTAATAGTTTTTTATATATTCTGGAAACTACAACCATATTAGAAGATATGATTTGTAAACATCATCTCTTATTTTATGGTCATCTGTTCATTTTGATAGTGTCCTTTGAAGCACAATAGATTTAATTTTGATGAAATCTAATTCAATACATGTGTGACTTGATATTAAGCTGTTTATCTAAGAGACATCTAAGACATTTTAAGTAATATTTACTTTTTAATTTCCTTCTAAGAATTTTATACTTTTAGCTCTTACATTTAGACCTTTGATCAATTTTTAAGTTAAGTTTCATAAATGGTGTAAGCATCCAATTTTATTTTCTATTTGTGGATATGAAATTATTTCAGTATCTTTGCTGGAAAAAAGTAGTCTTTACTCATTGAACACCACTTTCAACATCTTCGTAATGATTTAAACATCATACAGTGCACACATGCAGTAAAACATGACACGACATCACATTAAAATATACAAATCCCATGTGCCAATTTAAAAGAATGACAACAGGAAAAAAATTAATTGACTATAAATGCATGATGGTTTATTTCAGGATTCTTAATATTATTCCACTCAGGTATATGTCTAATCCTATGGTATTACTGAATCTCTTTTTAAATTAAATTCACCTTAAAAGTTCATAAAATTAGACATTTTATTAGGGTGCCATGTAATGCTCCAACACATTCACACACTGCACATTGTCTAAATCAGGCCAAATAGATCCATCCTTTTAGATATTTATCACTTCATTATGGTAAAACTTTTCCAAAAACTTTCTTCTAGCTTCTTGAAATGTATGGTACTTACTGTTATTTATAACCCTATTGAGCAATAGCACATCAGAATTTCTTGCACCTATTAAACTGTAAATCAGCACACATTCCCCAAACTTTCATCATCCCTTCCTCCTTCTACTTTCCCGATCCTTCATGGCCACCATTCTTCTCCCCGTGTCTATGAGATCAACTTCTTTGGATTCCACCTTTGAGTGAGACCATGTGGTACTTG